CCCCCCCCCCCGCCAGCTCTCTCCCAGCTGGGGTCCCGGCACGGGATTCGGGGTGATGACAGCAGGTTTTTGGAGGCTGAAAGCGGTAGCAGGGACCATGCTGCCGCCTTCACCTTAAAGGAACTTCAAACATTTTGTTCCTGAAAGCAACTGGCATTCAGCTGGAGATAAGCGCCTCCGGCGTGTCAGAGCCGTAATTTGTATTTAGCGAAGAGAGAACGAAGCCGTTAGACAGAAACATCTTGTGATGGTGGGAGGGCTTTTTTATTTTTTTGTTTAAAAAAAAAAACAAAACCCCAAACCACAAAACACTTTCTAGCCTGACTTGCACTCCCCGAGAGCCTTCAACCGCATCCTGCAGTAAGCCAGACACCCAGGGCTCGCTCCCTCCGTTGCGCGGGGGCCGAGGCTGGGGCCATGCCTATACTAAGGCATGGAAAACCTGGTGGCCGTAACCCAAGGAAGGAAAAGGACGGGTGATTAATTCATCCCCCCCGTCACGCCGCCGGAGCCGCAGAGACCCAGAGAGCAGGCGGAGCAGCCGGGAGGGCAGCTCCTCCGGGCAGAGGCTGAGCAAGCCCCACGCTCCTCCAGGGACGCTTCCCGCTGCTCCTCAACCTTCGGATGTTCGACAGTGAGCTCCCATGTCCCCCCAGCCTGGCCTGCCCCCCCGCCTCGCACAGGGCGGCTCGGTGCTTGCTCCCGGCCCTGCTCTTCTCCAGGTGTTGCCCCAGCAGACCCCCCCCTCTCCGTTAAGCCCTCCTGCTCCCGTCCTGCTCCCCGCCACCCTCCGGCTTCCACCCCGCCCTTGCTCCAAATGCCCCTGGGCAGCCCCAGCCCATCGTGCCCCTCCAGCAGGAGGGATTTCTGCACGGGCTGTGAGCCTCGGCCCTTTCCTTCACCATCGTACGAGTTACCAGATGTTCCCGGAGGCTCTACCCGTAAGCTCCCAGTGGAGGTCACGGAGGGACCCCCCCCTCCCCGACCACAGCAGCTCAGGTGGGGGTGGCCGGGCACCCCTGGGGTGCGCATCCACAGCGCTGCCCTGAGCTCCTGGCGTCCGCCCCAAGCATCCGAGGCTTGCCTTGGGGTCACGCCTCAGGCAATAACCCCTCTGCAGCTGGGCCGCTGCTACGGGGGGTTGGAAATCGGCCACCTTGATTCAAACTGCCAACTTCTGCTCTTTTTTGCCCCAGCCACGGAGCAGGTCCTTTGCTGCAGGTGGGGAGGGGGGGCTAAGGCACCCAAGGCACGGACCTCTGAAGGATGCAGCGAGGGAAGACGGGGGCACCCACGGACACACGAGACAGCCCGGGGGGGGGTACGACACAGAAGAGGTGGGAGAAGGTCCCTGGGGGTGTAAAGAGCATCTGACAGTGTCTCCGGCGGCAGCTCCTGGATGCCAGCATGTTTCTGTACCAGCTCCCGCGCGCAGAGCTGCCGCCGGCACCCAGCCCACACGGGCGCTGGGGGATGCTCTGGTCCCTGCCCACCTCTGCCTCCCCGTCCGCCCTCCCCCCGGGGCCGGGGAGGGCTGCAGGAGACCCCAGGCGAGCGATGGGGGGAGAGGTGAGAGGTAAGCTGCCAATCCGCCCTGCCAAAGGTCACCCCGACGCCTCCCGTCCCCACGGCAGCCGCCGGTGCGGGGCAGGGGCTCCCTGCGACCAGCACCAGGACCTGGACCAGGATTTGGCCCCCGTCTGGATGATGCCAACCCTCCTGCAGCGAGGGCAAGCCAGGCGGCGCTGAAGACAACCCCGTCACACCCCGGCTCCAGGGACGCGGAGGTGGCAAACCTTCAATTGTCCCCTCTGGGGACCACAGTGTCCGGCTCCGACCCCACACAGCCCAATCTGACGGCACCATCGGGACCCCCCCTCACCCGGCCGAAACCCCACGGCGCTTCCCGTGAAAATACATCCCCTCCCGGCAAAACACTGTCACCCCCCGCAAGATCTCTGGTCTTGACCGCCGAGGGGTCTTTGGCCGGGGTGGGGGTGCCCACCAGGGATGCTCTCCCAGCCGGGGACCCCTTCAGGCTCAGACCCCCAGCCGGGCTCAGGGAGGGGGGAATTTCTGTACCGAAACGCATCCCCGTGCCGCGGTTTACCGTGCCGGTGAGGACCAGCCGCCGGCGGGTGACCCGGTGGGTTAAGGCACGCTCCGGAGGCGACACTCACATGCGCGATGATGGTAAAACACGACTCTGTCCCCGCAGAGCCTCCCTCCCTCCCACCTCCCGGGGATCAGCTGCGCCTTGCCACCGCTCCTCTCCCCCTTCTGCTCAGTCATCCTCTCCTGCCTTCCCATTTAACCCCCTCGGGAGCGGGAGCAGAGGGGGAAGGTGCCGCAGGGCGGGTTTCAGGCGGGCAAAGCCATTCCTGCATCTCCCCCCCCCAAACCCGGACGCCTTCGGACAAGCCACGGCCACCCGGCCTTGGAGAAAACTGCAAGCATCCCCCGGCCCCGCCGAGCCAGCCCAGCCTCCGTCCTCCTCTTGCAACCACACACGGGAGAGGAGGAGAAGAAGAAAAAAAAAAAAAAAATTAAATCTTTGTTCCGGCCCCACACATGACATCAGCCCGTGCAACCGCTGGGCGAGCGCGCCAGCTGAATAGCGATCGTTTGACATAATCCCTCCGCTCGACAGTCATCTAAGGGAACAAAGCCACCCCGGCAGCGGCACCGGGGAGACTTTCTCCCCCCCCCCGCATCTCGGGGTGCAAGGTCACCGTGGGACGCCGGGGACGGGCACCGACGGTTTAACGAGGACGCGAGGTCAAGAGGCGGAAACCCACTTACCGAAACTTTACGAACACATTCAGAGTCCAAGCCGTCATTTTTAAAGGCTCTAGTTTTATTTTGAACATCGCGGCTGTCCGCAGGTGCCGGCAGGTGCTGTGTGCCCGGCCGGGAGGCGCCGGAGGGTGGCAGGAGGACGGCGGAGAGAAAGGTGCCGGCTCGTGCCGGGGATGCCGCCGCCCAAAAAAATTGGTGGTGGGGCGTCGACACGGCGCTGCCCGCTGCCATGCTCTGGTGGCAAGCCTCCCCTCC